TTAGAGAAAACCTAGATCCAAAGCATTAGGGTTGCATTAACACATAGGGATTGTTGTTATGCTCAAAACCCATCATATATATATATATATATATATATATATATATATATATATATATATATATATATATATATATATATCTGTGTGTGTATTCATATATGAATAAGTATATGTCCGTTCACAAGTGATTATGCATATATAAATATGGCGGTTGGTGGTGGATGTGGGGGCGGTGGCAGGGTAATAGTGGTGGCAGTAAAGGTGGTGGAAGTGGTAGTTGGTAGGTGGCAAAGGAAATGGGGAGTGGTGGATTCACATATAAATATTACTCTCCTCTGTCGCGTATGTCTGACAGAGGGTTTTATAGCAAGAAATAAATAAGTGGTTGAGATTGATTCCCCATTTTCAATACTTTTTATTTTTCCAATTAAACTTATATTTTTAAGCTAAAACTAGGGTTTAGACTGTCCACACAATGCTACGGAAGCCCTGGTATGTTGAAAAATACAGCTCGACACCATATATACTGTGGAGATGGTTAAACCATATAAAGTGCAGCATAAAAATATCAAAATAAAATTCGGATACAAACAATTATGTACGGAGGAGGCGGACGAAAATAAGACTTGAAAGTTTATCCCTAAAAAATAATGAAAAAGTATTATTTTAAAGTTATGTAAATGGCCAAAAATTAACTTTAGAATATAGTAAGAGACCAAATTATAATGTATAGAATACTAATGATTTAACTTAAAATTATGAGAGATGAAAACTGTTAAATAAAAAGTAATTGATGGGAAATAATGTAAATATGAAAATCTTCTATGACCAGAAGCTACATAACTATTTCGCTATTTCGAGAAAGACCATTGTTTTATATTTTATAATAAATGTTTGACAATATTTATTATATAATATGATTTGATTTTAGTAAATCTTAGATTTAGAAATAGAAAGACTAATAAATAGTGAAACCTCCTCACAAACCATATTTGGTATTTAATATATCCATATTTTGTATTTAATATATAAAATTCATAGGTTAAAATCTAAATGATTTAACTACACTATGCTTTGGATCATTCTTACCTTTTTAGTTTACGTTTTATTAATAATTTTATTTGTAAGATCCATGTATTACACGAGTTTATTTAAAAAAAGTTAAATATAAAGATTTAAATATTTGAAAAGTTTTGAATTTATAAGTAATTTTTATTCTTTTAAATTTTAAACAAATAAATTTAGATAAATAAACAAAGAAATTAATGTAACTTAAATTTTGAAATTTTGAAATTATAAGGAAAGTTAATTAATGAAATTGATATTCATATATTATTTCATTTATTTAATTATTACATTTAAATACTATGTTGATTTAATAAAATGGAAAAAAATATAAAATAACATGTGGAATAAAAAATAAAATAATTACAAAATGACATGTAGCAAAATGAATACGAGCACGACAAGTGCAAAAAAATCTTTATTTAATAGAGTGCGTGTGTGTGTGTGTGTATATATATATATATATATATATATATATATATATATGTTAACATATATAAAACATAAATTACCCAAAATTCCCTTCTACTACCAAAGATTTCCCAACTATATTTAGCTCAATTTAATTAACTATTTTTCCATTTGTACCCTAAAAAAACACTAGGCTGAAGTGCACGAGTAACAATAAAACAAATCAAACTAATAAAGCAAAATAATATTTTAGAAATCTGCACAGACATAAAAATGAATGAACTAGTCTAGATCAACTAATTCTAATGGAGCAAAAATGAGTTTAAAAGCAATCAACTTATACAGACAAATAACTCTTTGGTTAGTAGCATCCACCAAACACCAAATCAGTATTCCATTTGAATCAGTTCAAACACCCAAATAACTCAACCTGTTGTTAGGAAATCTAATGAAATTATCCTGCAAAAATTTCATCAAACCAATCAATCCTCCTTCAACATCGAATTCCAGGTCATTAAAACAAATTCGAAAATAAATTCTAAATACTTCAGGAAGTTTCAATTTTAATTAGAATATCAACACCATCGACCAAGAACTCAAATTTTAAATTGCACAATTTCACATGGAGATTAGGTCTCTTCATAAAATATCACAGCATATACATGAATGGTCGGCTTGGGGTTGAGATCGGCGGTGCTGCTTAAGCCAGAGGCGGCGAACATGGCTGGCGGGAAGATGGGTGAAGAAGAGATTGAAGACACGTTGTGGAGAGACGTACCGGAAGATACACGTTTTTGATATCTATTTGCCTTTGCAGACGTCGGAGGTGGGCAAGGTGAAGGAACGTGTGAGAAGGAAAAGGGCAAAAAAGGGAACGATGCTCATCTGTTTCAGCCAACGAGTTTTTTGAGATGACCCGGTAAGACGTTCAAGGACCGAGTAAGACACATCATATGGAGGTATCAAAAACATTTATCTGACCGAGTCAGCCAAAAGGGTCTGACTGGTCTGGATCAGCAAGAAATCAAACATGGCCTTTTTTTCTCCATTTTTACTCTGCAACTCTAGATTTAAAGCAATTGATGCACTCTTCCAAAAAAAAAAAAAATTAAACCCTCTAACGTACATAAAGAAAGAAGAAACAGTCAAAGAGAGTATTAACCAATCAGCTTCGTCATCTTCCCCCATAGCCGGAGTCACGCCACAACACACTCACTTCCTATTGGGGCGGTGTTCACACGTGGAAAAAGTTGCCATATCAGCCTTCACACGTGGTTTCCTCTTCCATACCGGATGATCTAATGCGGTTCTTTTATTAATTGTTGTTTAAAGGAGAATTTTTATAAAAGTCATTACAGTTTTATTTTTGTTATTTCTTCCGATTTACCCACTCAATTTAAATTTATATTAAAAAGCCACGTTATTGGATAAAAGTCTAATTGTGATTTAAATTTATGTTAAAAAGCCACATTATTGGATAAAAGTCTAATTGTGAACACTACAACTCATAAATTCAGGTTTTGTTTAAAAAACACTTATATTTTCAAAAAAAAAAATCATCGCAGTCAGTTTTATTTTTTCCTTTTTAATCTTTATTTTTAGAGCTTATTGTGTTCTAACTAATTATTGTATGAATGTAGGATTAATTGTGGAAAAATCAAAATTTAAAATTTTATTTAATGCAAACGGGTGTATAAGGGTAATTGTGTACATTTTTCGTTGCTATCAAAATAAGAAATAAATGATTTTCCTTTCAACTGACATCATAATCCCAAAATTATCGCACATACCCCGAATCGATTATTGTTTTTATCGGAACATATAATCAAACAAGATTTAGTATAATCAACAATAAATCGAAAGATTCTATTGATATTTTGTATATATACATCGATACTCATAGATCTGTTTATTGAAGTTGCATTGGGTTATTTCGGAAAACAACGATTCGCGAAGAAAGAGTACAAGGTCGAGTGTTTTAAAGACGAAATTTAAGAACACCACTGCATCCGTGTCGAATCTTGATGACGATGATGATGATTTCGTTTCTCCCCCTAGAGATACTTTTTTTATTGTTTAATTTTTTTAAATTTTTTTGGGTTGAATCCTTAAAATTATGCTCGAATGTTTGAACAATGTAGTATTTAGATGTGGTTTTGTTAAGTTGAATAACATAAACTTGTTAAAATATATTAAGAAGGAAGAGGTTTTTTTTAGGGTTTTGTTAATCGAATATGGAAAATTTGTTCGAATGTTTGAATAATATGAGATGTGATTCTGGTTTTTTTAATCTGAAGAAGATAAAGTTTATGAAGAAGATAAATTTTTTTTGGGTGGTTTCAGAATTAGTATACGATTAAGAATTCTTTCAGAATGATGAAGAGTAATTAAGTCTTTTATTACGTTAGGAAGGTGTGATGGAAATACTAATATTCTGCAAGAATTATTGATGGTATATTTCATTTTGTTGGAATCAAATCATACATATTTTTGTATGTGGTTGTATTCTAGAACATATATTCTATTAGAATGTAATGTATTATACTTTGATTATTAAAGTATAAATTGGAATATATTAGTAAGTAATTGTGTTTCTTTAATTGATCAGTTATTGTCCAAGCTAAACAGGAGCCTGTTAATATTGTTATTACAACTGTAAAAAGGGTAAAAAGGAAATATTCTACAAGATTAACAACTGAAAAAGATAAGATCATTTCTCCACCGACAGGTAGTTTTTTTATTTGGTTTAAGAGTTTGAATACAAATTATGTTAGAATATTTTATAATTTTACTATATGGAATTCTTTCAGAATTAGTATATAGTTTAGAGTTGATCAGAATGAGTTATATTAATTGTATATTTCATTTAGTTTTTTTTTTGAATGGTGATGAAAAGATTTATATTCTGTAAGAATGGTTGGAGAGTAACTAGTTGTGTTTATGTGATTCAGTAGTTGGTGCCCAAGCTGAACATGGGCCGATTAATATTGTTGGTACAAGTGCAACAAAGGTAAAAAAAAGAAACATTCTATAAGATCAATACCTGAAAAATAGAGGGTAGTTTCTCCACCTACATGTAATTTCTTATTTTGAGTTTTTTATTTGGTTTAGGAGTGGAATACTTAAAATAATGTTTGAAAATTTTGTAAGTGTAAAATATGGAATTCTTTGAGAATTAGTTGTTCTATCAGAATGATCAATAGTACTTGTGTATTATAGTTAATTTTTTGTAAATGGTGAATAAAAGACTAATATTCTGTAATAATGAATGGAGAATAACTAACTATGCATATGTGATTCAGCAGTTGGTCCCCAAGCTAAACATGAGCCGATTAATATTATTAGTACATGTGTAAAAAAGGAAAAAAGGAAATATTCTGCAAGAGCAACACCTGAAAAGGAGAATTATAAATCTGTAGAAGCAAGGCCTGAAAAGAAAAAAGCAAGATGTTTGAATGAATTATTTATGGAGGGGGAGATAGGATCAAAGAGAAAAAAATGAAAAGGTAGAAATTGGTACAAATATGGAAGTTAAGGAGGTTGATTGTAAAGGTAAAAAGGTAGTGAATGATCTACAATCAAAGAAATCTCCCAAGAGAAAAAAATGGGAAAAGGAATATGAGAACGTGAATGTGAAAAATAATGATGATAAGGTTAGAAAAGTGAGTAAGGAGTATCCAGTAGGTTTAAGAAGACTTCCAACTAGAATGAATCCTAGAAGGATTAGTACAACTATGAAAGTGATGTCCCCTATACACAAAAATGGGATTGTGTGTATGGGTTTTGGATCACTTCTGAATATTGACATGGACAATACTCTGGGGTTACTTAACTACTATCTCTTAGATCAGTGTGATCCAGAAAGTAGTTGTCGAGTTCTAGAGAATTATATGATTACAATTACTAAAGACACGATGCATGAATGTTGGGGTTACCAAATGATGGGGAAGACTTCATGTTGATGCCAAATTATGAAAAAGGCAATGAAATTCTGCAAGAATGGAAAAATAAGTATGAAAAATTGGGTTTAATGGTGAAGAATACCTAAAGAGGATCAAAAACACAAAGCAAGATAATCTTACGTTTACGTTGAATTTCCTTACCTTGTTCATTAACACATATGTAGAACCAATATTGAGTGGTGCAAATCAAATAAATGTTGTTAATAGGTCGGTGCTAGTGAAAGATTTTTCCAAGATTGATTAGTGTAAGTATATTTTAGAATGATTGGTTAGTAGAAAATAGACGTGGAGAAGGGATGATAAGACATGCTATTACAGTGGACATATGCTCGTTTTGAAGGTAACTTTGTTATTTTAAATAGATGAACACTTTAATTTATATTAAATTATATATGTTGAATTAATACTTTGATGTTTTTTTGGTGACATAGATGGTGTATGTATATAACATGAAGTTTTCAAACCTAAAGTTAGTGAAAAGGCTACCATTTATCCGACATATTAAGGGTGATGATCTTGAAAAAAATAGAGAAGTTGGAAATTAATATGGGAGGGTTTGGAAGGAAACTACAGGAGGACTTTGAAGATGTTTGTGTTGATGATGAAATGATGGATGAAGATGAAATGTTGGAGGGTCTCAAGTGAGATAATTGGGATAAGGAGGTAAGACTGATTTTTATAATAAAAAATGTGTTATATTCAAAAACATGCTAGTAGATGTGTACTTTTGAGTTAAAAGTTAATATAAAAGGTATAATTTATTTTGTTGATGAATAGTATTATGGTAGAATGTTGGTACTCAAACTTTGATCTACTATTTTTCAGGCTTACACGGATGTTATAGAGTATAGCTATGGGATAATTTTGTCCGAAAAAAAACACTATGGAAGTGGTTTTGAAAGATGTCTTGGAAAATTTTCCAGATAGTATACTGTTGAAGGAGTGGTTCGAAAAAAATCATAAATTATTCATTGAAGTTAAGAATGAAGGAAATGAAGGAATGAATGACAAAGAACATACTTTTGATGCTAATGTAAACAAAGGAGCCGAAGATATTGATAATGAAGGAGGAATTTCTTTGATTAGAGCTTTGGTAGTTTATGGTGATAAAAAGGATGATGGTGGAAGTTTTAATATTCCTATTATAGAACATATTGATAACACGGACCATCTAAATTGTTCACAATTTTTGGAGCATCATGAGGTGTTGGCAAAAGCCATAGAAATGACAGATGAGGCTGTGCTGAAAAGTTATAGTCAGGAAAAGAAATATTAGAAACAATGGCAGTAGATAGTGCATATAAAACCAGAAATGTATGCAAGGAGATTGCAGATGCTGTTGAAGATGATGGGAATGGAAAAAGGGGGAAAAGAGGACAAAGTAGTTGTATATGGAAACTCACCGTTTGTTGAAAGAATTATTCGAACAGGTGATAAAGTGAAGAATGATGAAATGGCAATATATAATTCAATTTTTGCATCAAAAAGAGATTATGTGTAATTGTGAATATATATTCTATTGATTTTTTTTATAAAAAATAATTACATCATTTATTTACTAAAAATGGATGAGCAGGGACGAGATTTGGGACAATGGAAGCGGTCACGTATTGCATCAAGGATTTGCTTATCATTTTAAAAGAAAAACATTTATCCATGCTATAATCATTGACTGTTGGACATCATTACTCAACAAAATGGAGAACTAAGGGATGTAGGATCGGTTGCTAGAGTTTTCTAAAATACAAACTTTTTTGTATGAAGTAATTTTAATTTTATTATCAAACTAGGTGTAAGCCCCGTGTACTACACGGGTTGATTTTAAAAAAAATATTAAACATTAAAGTGTAAACAAAAAATATTTTTTTTTAATATTTTTTAATGTAAAACTTTAAAATAAAAAATAAAGAAATGTATTTTATTACAATTTAATATCATATATATGATATTTAATACTTTACATATATAAATATATGATTTTAATTTTAAAAATTGAAACAAACCAAAAACTGACAAGTGGATAATATTTATTTCAAAAATACCACATAATGACAAGTGTCAAAACTTATGAGAAATTGACATGTGGCAAAAAAACCTTCATTTATTAAGGAGGATATTAATTTGGGTTTTATGTTGAAGAATATCTAGTTTCTTTTATGTTTAAAGGTAGACGAGATTCTGGATATAACAATTGCATACAGTACAAAACAACCAATATTTGATTCGATGCTTAGACTCCATATAAGGAGTTTACCAGTTAAACCAAGTTTCAAAGATGTTGGTCTGGCAATTTGGTTAAGAATTGTGTTAGATGTTTATATTTTTTATATAGTTATAGTTTGTTATTATAACTTTTGTTGTATACCAAATATTATTTCCAGTAGTTGAGGGGGGGGGGGGGTAAATATTATTTACTATTCTTTGATCTAAGGGTACCCACGTACTACATTATAGATCATGTCAACCGAACAGGCACTTTGGACAATATATATGTAAGCAAACCAAGTATTGTGGTAAGATTAAGAATTACATAGCAGTATTTTTATACGAGTTTTTTTTTGTATTAATACAGATGATGTATAATAAATGTATTATCACTGAAAAAATTGTTTGATAGCTACTTAAAATCACAACATCACCAAAAAGCAACCGCTTTTAACAAAATTAAACCTTGTGTCATGAATATTACATAAAGAGTAGCAAATTAAGGATCAGTTTGTGGATTATATTTTATGAGGCGTATGGAATCGTATTTGGGGGATGGTAAAGGGCGTTAGGATTGCTGTTTTATAGGTAAAACACAAAGTGATGTTATTGCTCTAAATAATTTAAGAGTTAAATACATGACAAGACTTATGAAACCCGACTACAAGAAGTATAAAAATATGTTGGAGAGAGATGCAGAAGCCTATGAAAGGCTTGATCTACTGGAGAAAATGGCTCTGATGAATGAAGTAAAGTAAGCTAAGGAGAAGAAGAGACGTGGAAGACGTTGTTTATAAGATGTACAAGTTGTTTTTATTACTTAACTATGGTAAAAGGGTTTTTTTGGGAGACTTTAGTGCTTGAAATATGGTAGCATGTTTATTTTTGATATTGTTGTTTTTGTTTAAGAAACATTAGAAAATAAGTGATGTTAGAATGTTTTTTTTGGTTAGGAAATTTATGAAATGAAGTTAGGTTTTGGCTTTTTAATATTTATAGCTCATTTTATTTATTGTTTGAGAATATTTGATAATTAGAATTTATTTTTGATGAAATACATTAAAATTCAATTTTGTGTTGTTTTATATTGTTTTTATAAGAATCATTATTCATAGTTAATTTTAGTTATAAATAATAAAAATAATATGACATTGTTCGTAAAGAATGAAAAATCAAAATATGTTATGAAAGATAATAAAATAAAATGTATTTGTAATTGAAAGAATTTAATATTGTATGAAATTATAGCAATTTTGTTTAGTGATTTACTATATTGTTATGGAGAAATGAGTGTGTTGGTATATGGTTTTCTTATAAATTTAAAATAAACAAAACATTGTGTAAATTAGAATTGTATTAGCTAGGTAGGTATAATGAAATTGTATATGTATATAGTAATTATTGGTTGAAATATATAATTATGTTGGAATGTGTAAGCAGTTAGTTGATTCAATCTTTTGGAAATGCTATGTTTTGTTGGTTTTACAAATTAGTTGTGAAAATGAATGCTTATATAGGATTGTAATGTTGGCATAACACACTTGGACAATGAATGAGGAAAAAATAGTCACCAGTGCATAATAATGTTAAATCATTTATTAAAAAACATAAACAATTATATGAATGTCAATCAAACACATGAAGTATAAAAGTTACTCTAATATCATAATTTAATATACCTTTAAAAGATGTAAACTACTTTTGCAGGTTTTTTAGAGGACAATTTCGTTTATCATGCGAAACAATCTGTTTACATGAACCACACTTTCGCTTAGGCTTCAAACTTTCTTTTTACAACATTTATTTTTTTGATTTTAATCTCTTTCCACGACTGCCAGTTCCCTTATTACGAATATCAGATAGATCCTCAATGTGAGGCACAACATTAAGTGACTCCACACCTAGAATCTGGTTGTAGAATGATTCCCTCTAGGGCATCTCGTGTGCTGGACAATCATCTACAAATTTTATTTCAAATTATTCAGCTCTTCAAGGTATGAATTTAACTTAGCAGAATCATGGCTCAAAAATGAAACACAAGGTCTACAGTTGAAAAAATTTCAATAGCCGGCATGACAAAATTTGAATCGACAAAAAAATTACAGAAACGCCTCTTAAGTAATTCTGTTGGAATAATATCCCGACTCGAACGTCTCAATATGTATTGTTCAGGAATCTATTCAACATTCTAAAACTTAAAAACACATAATATGTGGCTACACAAAAGACCGACATGTTCAAAATGCATGCAGCTACACTTGAATGAACCATCTGTTGTGAAGTGGGTAACCTGGAATATGTATGATAGTAGATGACTATATGTTAGTAAGTCGTAGTATGTGATTAAAAAGAAATGATTACATAATGAAATAAGAACATACCGTGTATTAAGTATCCTTTATAAGACAATCGTAATGGTATTCCTCAAGTTTGTCATCAACAACGGGACTTGTTGGTTGCCTTGTGCTTATGTTCTTTTGCTTCTCCAAGACAATAATTGTGTTAAAACCATTACAAGAAGAAATGCCCATTTGGAAACAAGTATTTTCATAATCTGAAATCTCTTTATGAACCTGATAAAATATTTTACGAGTGTACACCTTTGAAGCATTTGGTTCGTTTGGACTAGATGTGATGAATCTAGGAACAACTGTGGCAGTGTTAAAGTCATTGACAATTTGATTATGTCTTTGACGTTCCATTACACCCTCAAACATCATCATAAACAATAAAATATAAGAACTGGTTAGGGTAGTGTTTTGAAATGACCAATTTTGGCCTTCATACAATGATGTAGTTCTCATAAGACCAGACATTGTGACGTGCTTGGAAAATGTAGGGATCCATTATCTCCGCAACCCACACATCTTTTCATCCACTTGTTATTTGAAATCTTAAACTCATCTAAACAAGAATCTCATGCTTTCTCAAAATCAAGTGGTTCCAGCTTAGAATTCCAAATTACAGAGTGAAAACACTTTCAAAAATCCGCATTTGTGGCTACTTGTGATGTTATCTGAAGAAAAAGACATTTAAGGAGTAATGTTAAATAATAAGAGTAAGTCCATGATAATAAAACATAAAATGTTAGTATAAATCGTATAAGGCAGACAAATATGGTAACATATATATTTTGTCGGAATTATGTTGGTATCCTATAATTCTGACAGAATTATGCTAATTGATTCCGTTAGAATTGTTTTCCGAAAGAATCAAATGTATTACTAAAATTTATTTATAAAATATATTCTGGTAAATACAAAATATCCGTGCACCTTATTGTTGGAATAGTGTCTAAGACTACAACTATATTAGGCAAGTATTTGACTCGATTGTACATGGTCCTTTTTGGGTTGCCTTCACCATAGCAACTTGGTAGGATGATTTATTATGAGAGAATAGATATTATTAATATATTATGAGAATAATATAAGGGATAATAATATTGTTATTTGATTAATATAAGTCATATATTAATTAGTATTAATTTGATGACTTGAGATTAATTAAATAAGAGGGTATAAACTAACAATTGTTTGATAGTTACACTTTAGGCTGTAAATCCTTATAGGATATGGGTTTGGACGATTTCTAGGGCTAGGATAAGCCTCAAAATCATCCAAGGCTTATCTTGGGAAGGATTTGGATTGCTTTGAGTAATAGTTATCCAATCAGGGTTTAAGGATGAAACCCTAGGAGCCTTACAAGTATAAATAGACCCCTTGGGATAGGGAAATCGATACCTCCTCTACCGCAAGGATACCCTGGCCGATTTCCTCCTCTCTCCTCTCTCTCAAATCATTCTCTTTGCTAGTTGGTGTTTGTAAGCCATTAGAGGAGTGATAATTGTGACTCTAAAGCTCCAAGAACAAGAAGATCAAACAATGTTTCAAGGTATGCTTCTAACTCTGATTTTGTATTGTTCTTATACCTAATTAGCCATTAGGAGTCTTGGATTCAATGCATGTTTAATTAGAAAAACCTAGATCCAAGCATTAGGGTTTGTATGTGCACATAGGAATGTTCTTGTGTACAAAACCCATCAGTAGTATCAGAGCCTTGATTGGTTTC